TCATTAAGTAACACACACGAAAATCGTGTCATTTTTAAATCTCCTCAGATCCATCTTTTCGAGTCTTTTTATACGAGACTTCTACTTGATTCCATGTATAACAATAATATTTTGTATCATTTTAAATCGTCATCTTTCCAGGCTCGTCAATTAGTTTGCTATGAATATCCCATAAATTCTGTAAAAAATAATACATTTTAGACTATATTAAATAATAGATTATGATGATTTTTCTATATAATTTATCACATAGTCAAATTATTTGGATTCTAATTAAAATTTCACAATGCAGTACCACTAATAAAAGTTTTAAATGCGCATTATTAAACAGTTAAAACTGTATTTAATATACAAAATAAATTAAGTTTATAAATAACATTCAATTAATAAATGAAAGTTCTACAAATGTTGATAATAAACTAAATTTTGCAGGATTTTCATTCTACTATACATAATTTTGAAAAAACTAAATACATGTGTTTAACTTATATTTATACAGTATTAAAAAAATAACTACCATTTTAACTGTTTTGTATTGTACGACGAACGATTGCATCTCCATCTTCTTCAATCAATTTGTGATGTACAGCACTGAGAGCCTGCATATTATACAAATTCATTGCAAAACGAATTTACAAATTGTTTTAACTAAGATGTAAATATGTATGTTTAATCATAAATATGTACATTTATGAAAAATTCAAATAAATTATTACAAATCTATATACCTTGAAATATTTCACTGTCTTTACACGTAATTCTAGAGTTGCATCTTCATCACAGATAATTATTGTACGAGGATGTTGTTGAAAAGCTGACACAGTCCACATATGATTAATACCTTCTTCTATCGCTTTATAAAGAGCAAATGCTTTATGAGATCCTGTGATGAGAATCATTACTTCTTTAGCATCCATTACTGTGCCAACACCAACAGTCAGTGCTTGTTTTGGAACTTTGGAAATATCATTTCCAAAGAATCTTGCATTAGCTTCTAATGTATCCTGAGCCAATGTTTTTACTCTTGTACGTGATGCTAAGGAGGATCCTGGTTCATTAAAAGCTATATGACCATCTGGACCAATACCTGAAGAATAATATTTCATTGTGTAGGAAATTAATTTTGTATATAAACTTATTTGTATAATAAAATTGCATACCACCAATAAACAACTCAATACCACCAGCCTCTTTAATTTTTTTTTCAAAATCATCACACTCTTTTACAAGATATGGCGCATTACCATCAAGGATGTGTACATTTTTTGGATCTATATCTATATGTTTAAAGAAATTATTATACATATAGTAATGATAAGACTCTGGATGATCCCTGGGTAAATCAACATATTCATCCATGTTGAATGTTTTTACATATTTGAAGGAAATTTTTCCTGCTTTATGATATTCTATAAGTTTTCTGTACATTCCCAAAGGTGTTCCACCTAAATAAAAAATAATAATAAGCAATTATAACAACCAATCATGAATGAGTTTACATTAAAGATTTTAGTTTTACTTTTAATATATGAAAAAAAATACCTGTTGGAAGACCAAGAACAAAATATTTATTTTCATGTGGTTGAAAATCATGAATTCTTTTTAAAACATATTTGGCAGACCATTCTGCCACATAATCTACTGTATCACAGATCACTAAACGCATTTTGAATTTATAAGTTTCTACTTAACACTGAAAGAAGATATAAAATTACAAAATACAGTCAAAAAATGTGTGTAATAAAAATTAAATAATTGATAAAAATAATATATCATATACCTTCGCCAAT